TCAGTAACCCTGCATTGCTGATGTCTGTATCTTATTTAAAGTTACAGTGTGACCCCCAGAGTAGTGGCAGCTTTTGTGTCCTCCATACCAAACTGTACCGAAGCAGTGGGAGTGTAATACTGGGGGTTGCTTAGGGGTCACTTTAGCCTGAGCACCCCTCTGGTAAAGCCTGTGACCAGCCCTTCACTGTGACTTCCCAAAGCAAGGTGAGCTGAGTAGGAGCTGTGGAATCTTCCCTTTCCTGGGCTGTTGGAGAGTGTTTTTGTACTGCTCATAGGAAGACTGGAGAGGGTTACTCAGTCTTCTTGCAGTCAGGGAAGTAAAATGTTCTCCTTACCTGTGGTAGCAGGGTCATGGTTACCAATGGTGCATTTTTTCCCCTCCAACTTCATTTCAATCCTCTTTCCTGTTGTGGTGAAGCTCAGGGAAGGAGCTGAGAGTTTCTTGGTGATAAAGCAGTCCCTCTGTGGGTGCATGAACCAGCTGCAAGCCTGGACACAGTGCACACAAGGTACCCTTTGGAGAGCAGGAACTCCAGTTAGCCCTACTGGAATGCCAGGCCAGTGTAACTTTGCTGCTGCTGGGGGTAATTACCATACCTTGAGCAATGGGGAGCTGAGTATTGAGGGAGAGAAACAGGCTTTCTTACCATTTCCATTATCATGCATGATTTGCATCCATGCTAAAATACTCAAAGAAGAGTATAAATACTCCAAGTTCCAGGAACACAATAAGGAAAATGCAAAGAATCAAATCTCCACACCCTGGAAAAATAATACACAGATTTGATGCACTTCTTAATGTGGCTGAACACTTAAGCTTTGCTGCACCGATTTTTCTCCAAGTAGTTGTAGAAAAGCACATCTCCTCTATAAAGGTGTTTTGTAGTCTCTCACTGGAAGATTGTTTTTGCTCTGTATTTTAAGTCCATAATTCCAACTGTCATAATTACTATTTGATAAGATTTATTAGTGATATAAGTATAATTTTTTACCATCTCAGAAAACTCTTGAAAATCCTAATCATCTGAGAGAATTGTTATGACAGGAAGGACTGTTTTTTGTTACTAGTTATTGTTCTGTCAAAAGCTAATCATTATTATGTAATGCCAGCTACTTCAATATTGAGGAGCATTTCTTCCCCTAATCATAAGACATTTGAACTAATTTTTACTGAATATGTATTATGTCTATTATAGTGATAGTTAATAGCTAAAAAGATTTTTATACTTTTTCTTATCCACACTTCTGCCCTTCCCTGCAGTTATGTTTTTCTGTTGAATCCATAACATGTAACACTGCATATTTTCTGAAAATTTAGAAATTTCAGAGAATTGAAATGAATTTTGCATTAATATATGTCAGATCACGGTAGAAGATCATGCTACTCTATTTTCTTGGACAAATTTATTGGAAAGGATCTGTTGTCAAGATCTGGGCATAAACTTCAATTAAATATAATGGCATGATAAATAGAATTCCTGAGTAATATGTACATTTTCTCTGAGGTGGCTATTGGTTTGAGGGAAAAGGAATAAACGTAGACAAAGAAAAATTCACAGGACACTACCACATGAAGATGTAGTCATTCTCTGATACCCTGAGCTTCATTCACTCTGTTTGAGGACTGCAAGCATGGATCTTTTTCATATCTTGTTCCTTTCATTGCTGATTGTGTGGAAGTGGCCTCCATGAAATCTGAAGCAACTAAGGGCACGACTAAGCAAGAAGATGGATGAAAAAGAGACTGTATAGTCAAGACATCTAACAATAAGTCTCAGAGATAATATGACAATATGAAAACTGATAGAGTTAATGTTCTGATATCATTAATTATAGTTATCCTGCTGTTCTTACAGTAAAACCAATACTGTGAAGTCTGCTCTAAAGTTGACAGTTCACTGAGTGATTTGTTCAAGAATATACAAAATGCTTTGGAACTCTAAGAATGGCATCCAATCTGTCCCATAATAGGTCTTTCTACAGGGTAAGTGATGGAAGGTTTATCCTGTGTTTTCCCTGCTCTAAACCTCTTTTGAGCTATCCCAGCAGCCTAGAAGTTGCAGCATGGAGCATCATTGCATGTCCCTGAGTACTTACCCTAATTATTAGAGTAAATACATAACCTTTCTATTTGTCAGCTGTAATTTGCTTTGAAAAGATATGCTGTCAAAATTATTTGTTTTTATTCAAATTCCTTCTAGAGCCATGTTAGGCAGCCTCGTTGCTTTTTGTGCAGGCCTGTGAAAGAGCCTCTTTTTTGACTTAGCAGCATGTTTTAATCACAGCAGCAGAGATTCTGGCCCTCTGGGCTTACTTGGATATTGTGAAAGAGTGTAATTTTAAATCATGTCAGTTAATTTCTTTAACATATAAATTTTAAATACTCCTTTAAAACCCACATACACAAAGATGAAGGTAGTTAGTTTAGTCTAGGGGAATTATCATCTTTGCTTATACTATTTTACAGTAGCTTGGAATTTAAATAATTTTGTGTTGCACAAACGGTAAAGAAAAAGTTGCTGTTTAAATACTAATAATTGTCCAGGCTGACTTGGACCCATCATACACACGCAGTACAAAAAATGCATTAATTGGTGTATTTTTTACTTAAAATGATTTCTGACTATGCATATATGTTTTCAATGGAGCTTGGAACACCTTTATTTACACATTGTGAAAAATAACTAATTTATGTATGCAATTAATATATAAATAGTTTTCTATTTTCAGAATTAATTCCAGCTCTGATACTTTCATTAATGTACATTTTAGTTCTTAGGGTGCTTAGTTTCCAGTAGGCTGAGTACCTGAAAAGTAAGCTTTCTTTATTATTTATTTACCTCTCTTTTTTTTTTACATATACTAGGAGCCCTTTAATCTGTCCAAATGCTAAGGAAGATTATCAGAACAAAAGTGAAACCTTAAATGAAATTGCTAATGCTGTTTTGTAATGTTTCCTTTCTAGTTTTTGATTCACAGGATGACAGTGCAGTAATTGGAAAGCTCAAAGGAGCAGTGGAAGCCCTCCATGCACTGCCCTCAGTCGAGAGCGGAATGCAAAGATGACTACGAGGCATGAAAGGAAGTTTGCCTACAGAAGAGCCTTCTCCCAGTGTAAATACATGCTTGATAGTGCATCAAAGATGAGATCTTTGTAATTCCTGCAGTATATTTAATGTATAATTTATATGAAAAGGACGCTTGATTTGTAGTTGTAAAGTTTTGTATACTTTTCAGTCTGTTTGTTTTTATATTTCCCCCCTAAGGCTAAGAATGTCTCCACAATGGACAACGTCTTTTAAATAATTAATACCTACATGATTGAACTATGTGCTTTATTTGCATTTTTAAGATATTTTCCTACATAAAACAGTAATAAAAATGCAAGTCAAAATTTTAATTTTTAATAAAAAAACCATAAGCCTTAGAAAACTGATTAAAAATACTTTTATGTTATCCCTAATCACCCCGTTAAATGGAATGCCTGTGATTAGCCTCATTAAGAATTTTATACTGTGAAGATTTTATTAAAAGCAATATATGAAAATTACTTGGATTAATGTGTTAATCTGCCTCTTTAAAATGCTAATATCCATTTTATGCACATTAAATCTCAGTATGTGTTTTCTTTGATGCATGCAGTTCCTATCAATTAAATATAAAAAATTAGGCTAGTTGCAGGACTTATTAAATTACTGCACCCCTTTTTTAAATAACTTTTACCCTTCTACTAACATTATAATCAGCTGTTTATGGTTACCATAATTTGAAGTAGGGGGAGAGCAGGCGCAATCATTTTCTGTACAGTAGATGATTTACTTGCAGCCAACATCTGTCAAAGCACAAAAAGAAGCCATAGAGTGTCAGATTTTGCTTCACCTACTTTGGGCTTTGGGGATGTGCAACTGTTTTCATTTGGGTTTTGTCACTTTTAGAACTTACATCAAACATATACAATAAATTGTTGTATCTGAATAACTACTGTCTAGTGTGGAAAGTTAATTTTACAGCTTTTAACCAATCTCAGTGAAGGATTTAATTGATATTTTTAATGGAGCTGTGAATCAATGCTGCAAAAGGATTGTCTCTTGAGAACGAGGATATAATACATTTCATTTTTTAATTTACTTTTTTATTTGTCATTTTCTTCAAAGGATGTTATAGACTGTGGATTTCCACTGTTTGCAAACAGGCTATGTTTCTTCATAAGCATATGTAAAGTATTCAGAGAGATAAGTAATTTATTAAAATCTACCTAATTTGCCGTGATATATTAAATCTCTGCTTCAGTGATCACAGACCATTTCATTTAGAGAATTAGGCATTCCCTCTTTGTGTGATTAAAGCTCTGGAAAATGAGTTCTTTGCTCCTATTTGTGAACATTCAAAGCCTGCTAATGGCAAGAAGATGGAATAGATTATGAGACAATTCATTACAGTTCAACAGAAAAAAAACCCTGCTATAATGCAGAAATGCAAGTATGAATATCTGCATATAGTTTGAACCATCTGTGCTCTAATGGCTTCAGTAATGGCTCTTCGTCTTCAGTAGGCTTTGAAATGACATCCATACAATATTAATTTGTTGATGTACATTATGAGGCCAATGGAATGAATATATTCTGACCACAGAAATCTCTGAATTCCAGCATGGTCTGCTGGTTGACTCCATTTTAGGGCTTACCATCTTCAGTAGGGCTTCTCATCCAGACTTTGCCAATCCTCACAGCGTTTCATTCCTCTGGAACTTTAGGAGACCACAGACAGCTGCATTCCTAAACCCCTCCATTCTTCAGTTAATGGCCATATGTTTGTTGTCATTTGGGCTGGCACTTAGTTCATCATTTTGGCCACTATTTCTAGCTTTTTTTGGCTCTGTGCATCCATATTGTCAATAAGACTGTTATTATACATTACAATAATTTGAAACAGCCAGATTCAACACTGAGATTAACTGAGTGGCTTTTTAGAAATTTAGTTGTGGTATTCTGTCAGGAGGTTCTTATTATTCTTCTAATACTTTGCAAACCAAACTAAATATCCTGCACATAAACAAAGAAGTGAATTGTATTGAGTTTTTGTGTGTGACTGTTTACTGACTTGCAGGAGAACTATGTTAACTGGTGCTTGTTTTCTTCTGAAATAAACCATGTGGTAAAATTAGAAAATCAGTGATGTTCATCTCACTTAAACATTTACAGTAACACCCTTAACACTTAATCTTCGCCATCTGAAGTTGGAAACTTAGAAACCAAGAGTTCATATATTCATTAAACACAGATCTCTTCAGTAAGTTACTGAAAAATATTCCAGTTGACATTTGGTTACATTGTGTTAACTGCTCTCAGTGACTCCAACATTAACATGTATAATTTGCCTCAGGTTCCTAGACATATTTCTTTGTAAGCCTCACTGTTACTCAGTTTCAGATTTTAAGAAAATAATCCTGATTTCTATTCATGTTTATTGCTAAAACAGATATAATATTCAGCAAGGATTTTCCCAACAGATGGATTGTATTATCTTATGCAACATAAACATATGATCATAGCAGAAAGTTTTGTTCTTGCATTAAGTAGTCTGTATTTCCAAAAAGTTCTTAAATCTTAATTCTAAATGCTACATTGTGCGGGAAAGTGGAAGATGTAACCTAGTACTATTTTGTCTAGATTTTAGCAATGAATAGCTTGAATAGAACATGCATCTATGTAATCTCTTGGCTAAGGTACAAAGGAGCCATATTAAAGCTGTGTACTACCATGCTTTAAAAAATTACTCAATAACATTCATTTTTGTGGAATAGATGAGTTTTTACTACGGTGCAACTTGGTCAGCATTTCACCAAGATGAAATGACAGTGTCAAATGATCAGTTTTGTTATCATATCTTTTCCCATTTATTGTTACAGCTTATAGCTTTATGGTGATATCATCTGATGTGATATGATAACTGCTGTTCTCCAGGTTCCCAGGAATGTTGATCAAGATGGAAGTTTTTTTAGCTCAAAAAAACTTTATCTGTTTTAAATGTTGCTTTTAACCTTTTATAACCTTAACCTAGGAACAGAAGTTATAAGAGTAAATATGTCATGAACCAGGTAACAGCTCTGTGAAGTCAATCAGTCTTGCTGTAGAGTAAGTCAAAGCTTATCTCATTATATAAGAGTAGATATAACATGATAAAAGTTATTAGTTTTGTAGATCAATATTAAAGTTAATAGTACTATATTTACTATATATATATATACTATATAATAGTACTATTGTTTTAAATGCTTTTTATTATTTAAAGGCATAGTGAGACATTATCATAGTTCAAGACGTCTCCAAACATATCAAGACTAAATATTAGCTGCTAAATTTGATTTGATTGTTTTGTGTTGGAACTGAGAAATAATTAAAATACAGGTTTAAAATTGTACTACAAACCATATTTCATATTTCAGAGCCAGAGACATATTACATGTTTTAATTACAGACAGGTCTTTCTGCAGGTGATAACAGTCCATCAGTTTTTTGAGATATTGCAAAAGATAAATATTTTTATACAACTTCACCCATGTTACTGTTTATGTTATAGCTCTTAGCAATTTGACTAGATCCTGCAACTGATACTGGAAGAAATTGTATGAAATTAATTGCAGAATATGAGTTCAGGTTAGTACCTTAGTATGCACATGATAAAAATTTGCTTGTGGCACAGTTAGCCAGATGTGTACTGCTTTTTTGCTTTTTGTTTCTTTTTGGTATTTATGACATATTTTAATTCTTTTTCCATATTTTAAAATGGGACAAGGCAACTTCTGAGGAGCTTGAATAATTCATCTGTGGGTTTTAAAAGCATTTTAAAAGTTTTTTTTATTATTATTTTTAAGGTCCTTCAAGCTTTCAGCATCTAGCAGCATCAAAGTCTAACTCCTAGTAAAATTTTATCTCCAACAAGAGCTGCTTGGATCAGGTACCAGCTGAGGATGTTTTGTCTGTGGAAATAAGCTATTACAAACCTTCAGACAGAAATGCTTGTGGATCTCAATAGTAGTAGTTCTGTCACAATATTATGTCAGGATAGGATCATTCAGGCTAAGGAGACCTCGGGTGGTGTAGTCCAGCCTCCTGCAGGGTTAGGGATATCCAGGCTGGGCTCAGGGAACAGTTTCTGTCTGTGTGCCCTTTCCTGAGCTGGTTTCCAGGCCAGGCTGGATCCAGCCCTGAGCAATGGGGTCTCACATCAACAACTGACCATTGCTGGTGTCCAAATATGCCTTACTTCAGTAGTCCAATATCTGCAACTGTGCAAGACAGGTCTTGAGCACGATCTAGCAATGATTTGTCTGTGGATTTGGAAAATAATCTATTTCCTTGTTAGACAAAATGTCATTCTTGTGGAATCCAAAATTATTTCCTATATATTCAAGCTGCAAGAACTGAAGTGTCCTTGAAAAACTATTGGGAAAAATGAGGTCTTTCTCTTACTACAACAAAAAAAAAAAAAAAGATCAATAAAGTAAAGTTTCTTTTTCTTGCAGAAGTGTTATCAAGCAGTGATTATTTTGATTACCTACTCATAAGTATAAATAGCTACTGTAGCTGATAGTCTTTGACTTCAATGA